TATGTTCATTGCAGCATTATTTACAATAGCCAACACATGGAATCAACCTAAGTGTCCATCAATAGATGACTGGATAAAGAAGATATGTTACATATACACAATGTAATATTACTCAGCAATAAAAAAGAATGAAATCTTACAACTGGCCACAGCATGGATAGACCAAGAGGGTATTATGATTAGTCTCTCTGGTCCTTGTAGGTAGAGATTGTGAGACCACCCTCTTCCTTGACAGAAATTCTTTCACTGATCCAACCTTAATCATGCTCCCCTGAACTCTTCCAGCATGGACTTCTATCCTCATCTCTGCATTGGCCAGTTTGAGCAAAATCCTGCCAAGTCAGCTTAGCAACACCCCCCCACCCCCGCCCCATCTTCCATGTCTGGTCACCAATGATGTCTAATCAGGCTCCCCACTCATCCTCCACTATCCCCTGGTGATGTCTGGTCATCACCCAAAAAAAAAAAAAAAATCAAATGATGCATAGAGATAAATGAAAATAAAAATATAACATACCAAAATCTTTGAGATGCAGCAAAAGGGATGCTAAAAGAGAAATTTATAATAATACAGGCCTACCTCAAGAAACAAGAAAAACCTCAAATAAACAATCAACATTACACCTTAAGGAACTAGAAAAAGAGCAAATGAAGCCCAAAGTTATTAGAAGGATGAAACTAATAAAAATATAAGCAGAAATAAAAGAAATGGAAAATAAAACGACAATAGAAAATAAGTTTTGTATTGGTCCTTTCAAAAGATAAAAAATTATAAAACTTTGGCTAAAGTCATTGAGGAAAAAAGAGACAAAATCGGAGGTGAATGAGAAGTTATTAGGGATGCCACAGAAATACAAATGATTATAAAAGAATGCTATGGGAAATCCAAGATGGCGGCAGAGCAGGAGGAAACCACACTCACTTCCTCCCAGAACCAAACTGGAATTACAACTTAATTATAGTACAATCAATCTGAATACCCAACTGAAGACTGGTTGAACAGAACTTTGATCACTAAGGATGTACAGCACCCCGTGGAGGCTGGAAGGAAGGGTGGAGATGTGAAAATGGCTGGCCCTGCACTAACATGTGCTATGGTTGAGAATACAGAGGGATATTTCAGCTGCAAAGGATCCCCCCACCCCCGAGAAGAGAAGGGCTCAACCCCACTCCAGGCTTTGAGCCAGGAGCACCAGTGCCAGGAAGAGAAGCCCATATACCATCTGTCTGTAAAAGTCAGTGGGGAATCCATCTGCCAGGGACAGCCAGGAGGCTGCTGGAAACCCAAGCATCCTCTGAAAGTACCAACACATAAAACTGCATTCACTAATATTCCCCCAGGATCCAATGGAGGGAGGGCAGCTAGAACACAATGGAGTCATAAAGGGAGAGATTGGGTTGTGTGGCTTCAGGGAAAGGGCTAGAGGGACAGCTGCCATTGCCCCTGAGCTGAGTCCCTTTCCCAGGCCTCCCACAGACACCGTCTATATTCTGCACTCCCCTCCGTAGGGCATCAGCCTGGAGAGCTACTCTAGCCCCATCCTCCTGACTCCCTATGGCCCAGCCTTGGCAAGCTCCTACCTTGTGAAAAAATTAGCTAGCTGCAGGCAGCCTGGGCCTGCTGCAGTTTTTCTTATAAGGCTCTCCAGGAGGTTCATGTAGACTCGGGGGGTGTCAGAGACACACTGAAAGAGACTGAGCTGTGTGCCTCTGGGGAGAGGGCCATTTTACCCACTAGTCCGACTGGCAATGCCCGCCCCCCACACACAGAGCATCAGCCCAGAGATGTCCTCTTTCTCACCCTCCTGATTCCCCGTGGACTCCACCTGCCAAGCTGTTGTTATTTGCAGATGACATGATACTGTATATAGAGAACCCTAAACATCCCACCAAAAACTACTAGGACAGATAAATGAATTCAGTAAAGTAGCAGAATACAAAATAAATATTCCAAAACCAGTTGTATTTTCATACACCAATAGTGAACTACCAGAAAGGGAAACTAAAAAAAATCCCATTTCCAATTGGCTCAAAAATAAATAAATAAATAAAATGCCTCAGAATAAATTTAACCAAGTAGGTAAAAGAGCTGTACTTGGAAAATTATAAGACACTGAAGAAAACACAAATAAATAGACCACATACTGTACTCATGGATAGGAAGAATTAGCATCATTAAAATGCCCATATTTCCCAAAGCCATTAGTCAATGCAATCCTTATCAAAATACCAATGGTGTTTTTCATGGAAATATAACAACAACAACAACAACAAATCCTAAGGTTTGTATGGAACAACAAAAGACCCTGTATATCCAAAGCAATTCTAAGAAAAAAAGAACAAGGCCAAAGGTATCACACTTACTGGTTTTAAACTATCCTACAAAGCAATAGTGATCAAAACAGTATAGTATTGGCAGACAAACAGATGAACAGACCAAGGGATCAGAACTAAGAGCTCAGAAATAAATCCATACATATACGGGTAACTAATGTATGAATAAGAGCCAAGAGCATACAATAGAGAAAGAAAAATCTCTTCAATAAATGGTGGTGGGAAAACTGGAGAGCCACATGCAAAAGAATTAAACTAGACAACTTATCTTCTATTATAAACAAAAATTAACTCAAAATGGATTAAAGAGTTGAGTGTAAGACCCAAAACAGTAAAATACTTAAAAGAAAACATAGACACTATGCTTCTGAACATTGATCTTGGTGGTATTTTTTGTGAATTTGACTCCAACAACAAGGAAACAAGAGAAAAAATAAACAAATGGGACTAATCAAACTAAAGAGCTTCTGCACAGCAAAGGAAACCATCAACAACAAAAAAGCAACCAAGTGAATGGGAGAAGATATTTGTAAATGATATGTTCAATAAAGGGTGTGTATATATATGGAACTCATACAACTCTACAAAAAAAAAAATGAAACCAAAAAACCTAATTAAAAATTGGCAAAGATCTGAACATTTTTCTAAGGAAAACATAAAGATGGCCAACAGGCATATTAAAAAAATGTTTATCATCACTAATTTTTAGGGAAAAGAAAATCAAAATCACAATGTGATACCAGCTCATCACTGTTACAACAGCTTTCATCCAAAAGACAGTATTGAAGAGGATGTGAAGAAAAGGGAACCCTTATACACTGTTGGAAGGATTGTAAATTGGGGCAACCACTATGGAAACAATAGGAAGGTTCTTTGAAAAATTAAGAATATAACTACCATATGATCCAGCAATTCCTCTTTTGGGTATTTATCCAGAAAATATGAAAACACTAATTTAAAAAGATATATGTATCCCTATGTTAATTGCAGCATTATTTACAATAGATATTATGTTAATTGCAGTATGTTAATTGCAATATTATTTACAATTCCAAGATATGGAAAAAAACTAAGTACTATCAACAGAGAAATGGATAAAGATGATTTTATGTGTGTGTATATACATACATATGTATATATGTTATACATATAACAAAATATTACTCAGCTATAAAAAAGATTGTATATGTGTATGTATATACACACATATATGCATACATATATTACATACATATATAAAAGATTTTATATATGTATTTATATATACATATGTATATGTAATATATAGGTAGATGTACATATAAAACAAAATATTACTCAGCCATAAAAAAGATGAAATATTGCCATTTGTGACAACATAGATGAATCTTGAGGGCATTATGCTAAGTGAAATAGATCAGACAGAAAAGGACAAAAATCACTTTATGTGGAACATAAAACAAAAATGTAATGAACTAATAAAATAAAACAAAAACAGACTCATAGATACAGACAACAGAATGGTGGTTACCAGAAGGGAAGGTAGCTGGGGGTAAGGGCAAAATGAGTAAAGGGGGTCAAGTATATAATAATGAAAGGAAACTAGAATTTTGGTGGTGAGCACACAATAGAGTATACAGATACCAAATTACAATATTGTTCACCTAAAATCTACATAGTGCTATTAACCAACGTTATTTAAATAAAATGTCATCATAACTAAAGAACAGTAATTTATGTGCAATCTGAAAAAGAATAACTCATACTTCATGTTAAGAATTTGTCTTTTTTTCCTTCCTGTCAATGTTCAGGGGAGAGGATATTCTCATCTTTATGTTTCATGCAGGTTACTAAAATGAACAAAGTTTTGGCTACCAAATTTGATAAAAAACATATCTTGAAAAATATAGCGTGGCCCTCAACAATCTTTTCCCCCGCAGCTTTATTGAGATATAATTGATGTACAAAAACACTACACATATTTAAAGTATACAATCAAATGAGTTTGACACAAGTATGGCCCCATGAAGCTGTCACCGCATCCAGGAGGGTGAATGTGCCCAGCCACCACCAAGCCCCCTCCTGCTCCTTTGTGGTCCCATGTCCGCAAGCCCCACCCCCGGCAACCACCGATCTGTGACTGTCGCTTTGGATTAGTTTTCATTTTCTAGCATTTTATTGGAATGGAATCATAAAGTATCTATTCTTTTCGGTCTGGTTTCTTTCCTTCTGTGTAATTATCTGATATTCATCCATGTTACTCTGTGTATCAATAGTTCATTCCTTTTTTATTATTGGGTAGTCGTCCATTCGGTGGCGATATCTCAGTATATTCACCCAAACCTTTGGTTTATAATTGAGCAATCATCCATGAACCCATGCCCTCTCCAGCACAGATACCATGACATCTCCCATCACTGGTAAAATTGATCCAGTCACACTTCCAACGCGACAAAACTGAGGGTGGTCCTGGGATGAGTGGGTCTCCCCCTGCGGACGGGGTGCTCCTTGGGAGGCCAGTTTCTCCAGCCTCCAGATGTCACCTTCCAATCGCAGCAGCACAGAACTGGGAGTTTGTCATGTTCTCTCTCAAACAATGTACAGCAAATTGTCCTGATTAATAACGATTAAACTAAATGAAAGGCCCATTTCTTTTCTCCCAAACCCCAACCCCCTTGTCATTTCAGACCCCTAAGGGGGCCTGTGCGACAGCAGTGAAGATAGCCATCGACGTCGGGTACCGGCACATAGACGGGGCCTACGTGTACAAGAATGAGCACGAGGTCGGGGAGGCCATCAGAGAGAAGATCGCAGAAGGCAAAGTGCGGAGAGAGGATATTTTCTACTGCGGGAAGGTGAGTGCGTCCCTCTGCCCTCTGTCTCCTCATATTAATGGTGGCCCTGACGTCACTTCTCTCTGCCACAGGATGTTGGACTCACCAAGAGCAGTGAATTTCCAGCTGCTTAATTCCTTGCTCATGCCAAGAACTTAGGGACTAATCAGCCCCTTAAAGCAGGCCTACCACAAGGATCCTTCTTCATACCCGGGCAAGGATTTAAAACATAGGCAAAGAACCAAGTCCACAAAGCAAAAATTTGGAGACTGGAGGGAAAAGAGGCCATGATTCCTATTACAGAAGCATTTGCCAAAGCTTTTTCAATAAAGGCAGCCTTCTTTTCCTTTCGTGTTTACCAATTTGTTCACAGATCGCTCATTTCTTTATTGAGCTATAATTCACGTACCATAAAGTTCACCATTTTAAATCAGTGGTTTTTAGTAAATTCACAAAAGCTGCACAACCATAACCACTACCTAATTTCAGAATATTTTCATCGCTCAAAGACAAAACAAAACAAAACAAAACAAAACAAAAAAACCTGTACCCACTAGCGGTCACTTCACAGCCAGTGGGAATATTAAATGTATAGCTACAGGCAGCCCTCCAGGAATGTAATACAATTCTCCTGAGGGTTCTAAAGAGAAAAAGACACTGCTTCTGACTTGGCCCAGCCCCCAGACCTCCCTTCCTCCTAGTTCCCCACTCAGGCTCCTTCCAGGTTCTCCAGGCGTTTGCTATTCCCCAAATTACCAGCTGCTTTTGGGTTATGATTCCAAGATCCACATGGAGTCACTGTCCCAAAATATCAGCTTTTCACTTTACTAAAACTTTACAATGCTGATTCCTAAAAATTGTATTATTACACAGTCTCTCATTAGAATAAAGCATTAAAGCTTAGATAGGTGCTCGCCACACGTTTCTGTACAAGAGTAAACTCGACCTCACAGCCTGACTACCTTTGCCAACGTGGCCTGCCCAGAGCCGGAAATATTTTTGAAAACTTTGACTTATCTTAAAATTTTTAAAAAACTTTTGCATTGTCTCGATCTTTTATTCATGTTTGTTTCATGTAAGAATGAAGTTTTAAATAACCACCAAGAAAAACGGACCCCCAAAACTTCCTTCTTATCTCTTTGGTGAACACTAAAGCTGTTGCAATATCTATCACGTTGGAAAATTCAACCGAATGATATCAACTATTTCATAAAGTCACTTTGAGTTAACATTTACAAAATACTTATACAGTACCTGCTACAAAGCTGGTACTCTGTGGGTTTGTTGAATAAAAATGATTAGAATGTATAGAACAGAATTTTCATTTCAGGCAGCAATGACACCCACAGGGCCCACAGTAACAGCCAAACCCATTTTCCCACCCATCTCTCTGCCTCAGGTTTTCTCTTCTCTGTGCTCTGAAGGCAGGACAAATAAAATGATTGCCCAACATAAGAAAAAAAAATCAAATTTTACTAATTTTGCTTGCCCGTACTTGTGACTAAAAAGGAACCGAAATTTAGAACTCTTTTCCCAAAGAAATATTGCAGCAAACGGGATGCTTCAAGAAGATGTACTAATTTATCCCAAGACTCTGAGTACCCCTCAGCAACCTAGGTTTTACTGACTCCAAGGGTGCACGTGCCCCAAGTTGATGATCCAAACCTTAATCTTTCCTTACCTAACACTCTAGAGATCAAGTAATTTATTTTTCCTTTTTTTTTGTAAGCAACTTAAGTTTATTAGCTTTATTTTTTCCATACTTATTGAAGTATAACTGATATATAACATTATGTGAATTTAAGGTATACATGTTGATTTGGTACACTTATATATTGCAAAATATTTGCCACCATATGTCAGCTAACTCCTCCACCTTTTCACATAATTACCATTCCTTTCTTGTAGTGAGAACATGTGAGACCTACTCTCTTAGCAACTTTAAAGTATATAATACAGCCCTAGCTGGTGTGGCTCAGTGGATTGAGTACCAGCCTGTGAACCAAAGGCTTGCCAGTTTGATTCCCAGTGTAGGGCACATGCCTGCGTTGCAGGCCAGGTCCCCAGCAAGGGGCACGTGAAATGGAACCACACACTGATGTTTCTCTCCCTCTCTTTCCCTCTCTAAAAATAAGTGAATAAAAAAAAAAATTGAGTATATAATACAGCATTATTGACTGTAATCGCTATGCTATACATTAAACCCCCAGAACTTATTTATCTTATGACTGGAAGTTGGTGTCCTTGGACCAACATCTCCCCATTTGCACTCATGCACTGCTGTCAAACTGTTGGCCTTGCTGTGAGGTAAGGCTGGGGTCCCCTAGCCTGCCATTTTGGTGACATTATCAGTTCAGCCAGACATCCAGCAAGTTCTCAGTAGGAACCTGCAGAATTTCCCTGGGGTCCCTGGTAGGAAATGAGAACAAAGGAGCAGGGAGAGAGAATCTAAATCTTTGCCATAACTTAAAATTTCACCAGCTCCCATACTGCCTGCCACATGTGAAGGATGCAGTGAAGTTGCTCACACAACTGTATTTCTTGCTCAAATGAAGCTCACCTTTTATCAGAGCAACACGAAAAGAAAGCGTCAACCCAGGTCAGCGCGGCTATTCAGATCCATGTTCCCCAGTTACACAGGGAGGGAAAGTTTTAGAGCTGAGAGTCAGGTAGGAAGTTAGCACGGAGCGGAAGACTTTTCTCCAAAGGAGGCCCTCTGTGCTTCCGGCGGGTCTTTAAGTCTCTGGTCCTATATTTTCTTATTAAAATAATTTTACCTTTCAATTATAGTCAACGTACAATATTATATTGGTTTTAGGTGTGCAACCCAGTAAGGAGACATTTCTGTAACTTACAAAGTGATTACCCTGGGAAATCTAGTCCCCATCGGGCACCCCACATGGTTACTATGGTACTGTTGACTCTCTTCCCTCAGTGTGGCTCACACGCCAGTGATGGCTCTGTAACTACCAACTTGTCCTTTTTAACCCTTTCACCTTTTTCACCCATCCCTCTCATCTGGCGACCGTCAAAATGCGCTCTGCATCTGTGAATTTGTTTAGTTTATTTTGTTTTCTATATTCCACATATAAGTGAAATCGTCTGGCATTTGTCTTTCTCCTGTGTGACTTACGTCACTCAGCACAATGCCCTGTAGGTCCACTCCAGACGGCAAGATTTCATTTTTCTTAAGGCCGAGTCATATTTCATTGTATAAATGCACCACTTCTTCTTTATCCACTCATCTATATTTGCAATAGTTTATTTTCACTCTATTTTTTTCCATTACTGTGTATCCCCCTTATATCCTCTTCCGTCCTCCACCGACGCTTGCAGTCTCCACGCTGCTGTCAGTGTCCATGAGTTTTTCTTTTTTGGGTCGATCCCCCTGCTCCCCAAACCCCTCCCAGAGCTTTCAGCCTGCTCTCTGTATATGAGTCTGTCTCTCTTTTGCTTATTCAGTTTGTCCATTAGATTCCACATTTGAGTGAAATCATACAGTATCTGTCCTTCTCTGACGGGCTTATTTCTTTCAGTGTAATGTTCTCCAGTCCATCAATACTGTCACAAAGCGTAAGATTTCCTTCTTGTTTTTTTATGGCCAAGTCACATGTCATTGTGTAAACGTACCACAGCTTTTCTATCCACTCATCTACTGAGGGGCACAGGGTCTGTTTCCAGATCTTGGCCATTGTAAATAATGCTGCAATTAACATAGGGGGGCATGTATCCTTTTGAATTAGCGCTTCAGGTTTCTTCAGATAAATTCCCAGAAATGGAATCACTGGGTCATAAGGCAGTTCCATTTTTAATTTTTTGAGGTCTCTCCACGCTGCTTTCCATAGTGGCTGCACCAGTCTGCATTCCCACCAGCAGTGCATGAGGGGTCCCTTTTCTCCACACCCTCCCAGCACTTGTTGTGTGTTGATTTATAGATGACAGCCATTCTGACAGGTGTCAGGTGCTGTCTCATTGTGATTTTCATTTGCATTTCTTTGATCTTAGTGATGTTGAGCATCTTTTCATATGTCTATTGGCCATCTGTATGTCCTCTTTGGAGAAGTGTCTATTCAGGTCCTCTGCCCATATTTTAATTAGATTATTTTTTGCGGTTGAGTTTTATAAGGTCTTTATAAATTTTGAGTATTAACTCCTTATCAGTGAATGCTATATCCACTCATCTATTGATGGACACTTCAGTTGCTTCTGTATCTTGACTCTTATAAATAATGCTGCAATGAACATATGGATGTATATTCTGGTACTATATTCTGATAAAGTTATACTATGGGTATCAAGAGTAATATCAGTTTATCCTATACTCAAATAAAACTTCAGCATAAACATATTTTTGTGCAATAAAGTGAATGAATAAAATGTGTATGAAGGCTTTGTAAAGAGTAATGGGCTGAGTTATTCTTTAAAAAAAAACCAGCATGGGTATTAGTTAACTAACCCGATTTTACTCTTTCAGCTTTGGTGTACAGATCATGACCCAGAGAACGTCCGCCCGTGCCTAGAGAGGACGCTCAGGCTCCTCCAGCTAGATTACGTCGATCTTTACATCATTGAGTTACCCATGGCTTTTCAGGTGAGTTCGGAAACCTAAAGGTTTGGCCTCAGCTCTTTGGCAACCATGAACTAGCTCATTAGTTAGCACCGCAGAATGTTATTGTTTTATTACCATAGATCAGGCAGCACTGATCTAGCCCAACGAATGGCCAAAAAGTTTATATATGCCAGACTCAGGCTTGGATCCCATGTTTCCTGATTCATAATCTAATGCATTTTTTATTACATCATGTCTTTACACCTGTATTTAAACTCTCTCCATAAAACCATCATGTACTCCCCGAACGGTAGTCCACGTTTTAGTTGTTGGGCATCCAGATACATCCTTCTTGCCACTCACATAGTCAAGGTAATGTCCCTGCATGACATAATGCAAAATAGTACCATATATACAGCTGAAAACTTATTCACCTTCCACCCTCTCCACAGGAAAATAACTCAAAGAATGGTGAGGTGTTTTGGAGTTAGCAGCAAGGTCAGGGTGCTAGCTATTCCTCTAGTTTGATTGCTCTTCTTCCTTGAATTTCCTCAATCTGTGGACTCCGTGCTAATGTAACCTCCAACAACACATCCCAGACACACTGCTGAAGAGAAATGACTGCTTTAAAATTTCAGGGAGGAAAGGAGAGATTGAAAATGAAGCTGGTGCATGAGGCAAATCAGATCCTGCTGGTCAGGAAGAACAAGGACTCTCCCACTGCAGTGGCCAGAAGTCCTTTATGCAACCAACCTGGCTGCCCTGTTCTATCCTCTGGAAGCACTTTCCTTGGTGACTCTTCTCTATGGTCACATCCACAATGAGCTCTGGGAAAGATTCCCCTTTCCCATTCTGCTTCAGGTAGATGCATACGGGTCTTCGGCCTTCGCAATGGCCTTGGTAATCCGAGGCTTTTATTAGCCAGATTGGAATTTCATGGACAAGACAATATCCCTTAAAATTCTTTTAGGCTTTCAGTAAATTCACATTCAGTCAGCTCCCTAAAAGAGTAATTAAAACTAGGCTTCTTAGAGGGTCTATTTCTTGTTTCCAAACCTTTGTTTGTCCTGCTCTTCTACTCAGTTTTAAGCTTAATATAGCTCACATCTGGCTGACAATAATACAACACAGGGAGGCACAGCGATCGGGTTCCTTGCACCCAGTCTGCTTCTCACTGGATGGTGCTCCCTTGACAGGTAGGGCATCCATGGCTCAAGATCTTGCCTTCGGAGAGATGTGGACGAGAATTCCCCCAAAGTTCAAGTTTATTTCCCTCTAGGATTCTTGCCTTCCTGTCTTGGCTGACCCTGACTTTTCTCATTCTAGAAGGCTCAGGGCTGAGCTTCTGACACTCTGATGGCATCCAGAAGCAGAAAGTAGCTGTTTTAGCAAAATATGATCTTACCTCTCGTCTTACAAGTCAAGAAGCAATAAACACATTTATCTTTCCTTAGGACCTTCCTGAAGACTTCAAAAATGGCCAATAAACTTTAACACCCAACATTTTCCCACTAAGCCCCCTAAAGCTTCAACCTTAGTATGCCATTGTCAGAGTCTCAAGACACAACAAAGCAACGATTTAACAAGATGTCATGCTATTGCATAGAAAGAATAGCCAGTTCTCAGCTGGAAAATCCTCACTGCCCCCAACCCCATATGGACCTAGCTAATTCTACATTTTTGGTCCATTACTTGCCACACCTCAACACCTTTGTGTGAGTCAGGACTCTTGTTATAAGTGGCAGAAGTTCGACTTAAATTGGCGTTAGCAAAAAAGGGACCTAAGAAGTCCAAAGGATATCTAATTCAGGCACAGCTGGATCCAGAAGTTTAAACTACGTGTCTGCACTCTGGCTGCTTCTCTATCCCTGTGTTCCGATTGGCTTCCCTTTCCATATGATGGTAAAGTGCCCATTGACATGGCAAGCCTACATTTTCAGAGAAAGAGAGACTACACTTTAAATCTCATAGAGAAATACTGATTAGCCTTGCTGGGGTCATGGGTTGTGTCCACTGCTGACTAATCTTTGTGTGAGGGCTTGGGTGACTCATGGACATGTACAGCCAAGAGGTGGAGCTGGGTCAGCCCACACAAACAATGTGGACTGAGCACCTCCGTAGAAGATGGCATAAGGATGGTAGAAAACAAAATGACAAATTCCCACTGCACTCATGAGAACAGTGGTATGAAGCAGAGCTCCAGAGCCAGGCCGTCTAGTTCGAATCCCAGCTGTCACATGTGAGCCAAATGACTTGGTCAAGTTATTACCTGATCTCATAACAGATCCCCTAAGCACGGCGCACTGGAAAGAGTATGGGCTTTGGAGTCACACAGAAGAGGGGCTGACTCTCAGCTTTATTACTTACTAGCATAGTCACTTTGATATTTCCAAACTTCAATTTCATTATTGGTAAATTGGAGATAATAATAACTGACTTGCCAAGTGTTGTGAGGAGTCATTAAAATTACACATGTGAAATTATTGCTCTGGCTGGTGTGGCTCAGTGGATTAATTGCCAGCCTGCAAACCAAAGGGTTGCAGGTTCACTTCCCAGTCAGGGCACATGCCTGGGTTGTGAGCCATGTCCCCAGTAGGGGGTGCACAAGAAACAACCACACATTGATGTTTTTCTCCCTCTTTTTCTCCCTCCCTTCCCCTATCTCTAAAAATAAATAAACAAAACCTGTTTAAAAAATCCATCAAGGCTGGGACCAGATCCTGGGTCCCGTGATGTGAATCCCTTATTTATTCTCCTACACTATACAGCCCCTTCTGCCTTATACTTTTTAAAAGATGAATGACATTTTTAAAACATAAATAAAATTACTGCTGAACAGGAATGAGAATCAATAGTATGAGTTTTTAGAGCTTTGAATTATTCTTTTAATAATGCCTTACAGGAGAAGCAGGAGTGGTAGGAAAGGTCATGGGATTATCCAGTGAGGGATAAGTAGAGCCGGTACAGGGGAAGCTGAGACGAAGATCATAGAAATATCTAACATGGGATCAGGTGTGATAAGGACTTAATTAAAATCTGGGAAAGTAAGAATTATTTAACAGTTTGTGCCGGAAGCATAAAACCATTCCAGAACAGAAGTAAAATTGGGAAATGCAAAAGGCGGGAGGGAGACTGGAATGGAAATGTGGATCATAGGTGTTGAGAAGATCAAAGGGCCTGGGAAACAGAGACAAGGCAGTTAACAGGAATGATGATGTGGCGTGGAGAAATAAGGAGACTTTTTCTCATTCTACGTGAGACAGGAGGAAATTGAGCCAAAGCTGTTTTTGCTAAAAAAAGTGTTACCACCAGGGGAAAGTCCTGTTCAGGTGAGATGACAGGAAAAAAAATTTTTTTTTAATGTAATGAATTTTGTCCAACCGCTTGATTTTAAATAAAAATTCCCGTTATCAAGGTGTACAAAAACTTCCATGCTGGCAACCATAACCAATAAACACTTTATTCTCATATTATTCGACCTATTTCAACACAGTTGACCACTATCTCCTGTACACATTTTCTTTTTGTAGCTTCTGGAATGCTACCCTATCATGATTCTTTGACAGCTTCTTCCCTGCCAACCTCCAAACGTTGTGAGGCCCAGGACCTCTATTCTCTATATTCTTGTCTTACTGAGGCACACTCTCTCTATAGGTGATCTCGTATAGTTGCATGGATTAAATACCATTTTATATGCAACCACATTTTGTCTGCAGCCATGATATCTTTCTGGGCCTCTTTCTGAGACTTTTCTGTTTAGTTGCCTCCTCAAATAACCATTTGAACAACTGCACTTTGTCGTGTATAAAATGCACTTTTTTGCCCAAAATTTTGAGGGAAAAATAAGGATGTGCATTATATATGGGTATAATGATTACATACCATAGGTATAATAATCCCGTGTATAATGTGCACAAAACCGTGGCTGCGCATTATACAGGGGAGCACATTATAGTCATTCCAAACTGAAAATATCCAAACTGAAACTCTTGATTCCTAACCCAACCTCGGGAAGCGATGACCACCATCCACCCAAGTAGCCTAGGAATCATCTTCTTCTTTTTTTTTTTTTATCTCTATTCCATTTCCAAGCCCATAAGAAATGGGTCCTATTTTTAGAAATTGCCAAAAATGAGAAATCTGAAAGGCAACATTTCACACCACAGTTAGTCTTAGTTGGGAAAGGATCACCCAAAAACCAGAGAAGGAAATTTGACCCTCAGATAATGATTACTTCAGAGTAAGCAAAAGAGATGCTAAACCCCTGGAGGGCCCAGAGACGGAAGGAAAATAGCCAGCGTGCAAGTTAGCCAGAAATGAGAAGTCACGTATCACGTGGTGCTAAACTTTGCCCAGGCTAAACGGACTACCGCAACACTGAGTCTCAAAGTCCTAATGCTCAGCCTCCACTCTTTTTTTTATGAGTAATTTTGTCACTAGGAGAGAAGTTCATGACTTAAGAGCAATAATCTGTCAACAAGTAAAGGGAAAATTAAAGGCAGGGTAGGGTCATGAGATCAATGTGTCACCTATTTTGGAAAAAGTGAAAGAATGCCTGGACAGTCCCCCAAAGGTGAGAAAATATATATAGTTTATTATGTAATTATATAAACCTATAAATCATTAAATTTGAACTGCTTTCCCAGGACTAGGATATATTGGCATAATGACAATTCAAATTCCATAATTTCAATTCTCAGGTATAAATAAAATGAATTATGCTTGTTTTTTTATTTTTTTTAAAGCCTGGAGATGCAATACTTCCTAAAGATGAGAACGGCAAATGGTTATATCACAAGACAGATCTATGTGCCACTTGGGAGGTAAGTTCAAGTAGGCCTTTTATTTTAAAAGACTATATATTTTTATTGTAATCTGATCATTCCTGTTGGATGTAAGTAGCAGTACAGCCTTTACACTCCTATGCCAGACTCCAAAGGCTGGGAACATATTCTAGTGACCACAGTATCTCTTTCCAGTGGGTGCCCCTCTCTAGATAACAGCTGAAGATCTGAAGAGTGGAGTTGTGTCCAAGGGGGAGGAGGCAGTTTCTGGTTTTCTGATGCCTGGGGCTCTCTACTTGTGAGGCCATATATTCGCTCCTGACCTCACTGGAACGGACCAGATTTGGAGCCTGGTGTTCTCCTCTAAGAGTCTGCCCAACAGGAAAGCCAGTATCCCAGGGAGAAAATTAGCTCACAGCTCAAAATAACAAGGTATTGATTTCATAAGGAAATAACATATCCCAATTAGAGATCCCAACATAAACAGAACAGAGGACCAAGAACTTTCAAATTAGCCAACTACTGTATTAAAGGACATAAGAAGAGATATTAGCAATGTGAAACAAGAACAAGAGAACTTTTTAAAAAAAGCACTAAATAATAATTAGGAAAAATAAAAAACCACGGAATAGATGGGATGAAAGTGAAATGGATATAGATAAGAAAAAAGATTATCAAATTGAAAGATTAGGATGCAAAAATCTCCCAATATAAAGAAGGAAAAGATAAGAAAAAATTAAATGTGATAAAAAAGCTAAGAGATGTGCAGGATAAAATTTGAATTTACAATACTCACATAATAAAAACCTCAGGAAAAAAGAAAGAAGAAAAAAGGAAAAGAGGTAATATTTGAAGGGGAAGAACAAAAGACATTGAAAGAGCACAGATTATCAAAGAGGAAAGAGAAGGAAATTCACTAGACATGTTATAGAGAAATTTCAGGATATCAAACATGAAGAGAAAATGTTAATGCTTCCAGAGTATAGCAAACAAGCCAAAGAAGGAAACAACATGAAATAATAAAAGACAATCAGCCCAAGAGCAGTCAGGAAAAAAAGAGCAGAAGGAAAATAAATAAGTGGGGAAATAGAAAACAAATACCAAGATGGGAAATTTAAACACAGTGATATCAATAATCACAGTCTGTGTAGATAATCAAAACAATCCAATAAAAGGCAGAAGTTGTCAGAATGGACAAAAAGCAAAACCCCACTATATCTTATATGTAAGAAACCCATTTTAAATAAACACACATACATGTTTAAAGTCAAAGGTTAAAAAAATTAAGAGGCTAGAAAAAGATAAACTAGGCTCACAGTAATCAAAAGAAAGCTGGAGTAGCTATTTTCATATCAACAAAGGTTTCAGAGCAAAAAGTATTACCAGGGATAAAGAAGTTGGCTTTGCGATAAAAAAGAAATCCTAAACATCTATGTACTTAACACCAGAACTCTAAAAATACATGAAACATAAACTAAGAGAATTGAAAAGGGAAAGACAATAATCCACAATTATAGTCAAAGATTTTTAAACCTCCATCTCAATAATTAAGATAAAACTAAAGAGAAAATCTATAGATTACAGGATGAAAAAGAGCTCTACATTTGTTTTATTTCAAGTAATAGTGGTCCGTGCACCTTATTTGTTGAATAAGTCTTATTTCCCCCACTGATTTGACATATCAATTTAATTATATATTACAGTGTTAGATATATACATTTGTTTCTAGAGTGCTCATTTTATTTCATTGATCTACTTGATTATTTCTGTGCTGGTGTCATGTTGCTTTAATTGCTGAGAGTTTACAATGGATTTAAATTTTTTAATATTTTATAATGGATTTTGACATTAAAAAATAAATAAAATCAATCTATATTTAAAAAAAGAAAGAAGGAACTCCTACCTTTTGCAACAATATGGATGGAACTGGAGAATATTATGCTAAGTGAAATAAGCCAGTCGGTGAAAGACAAATATCATATGATCTCACCTATAAGTGGAATCTATTCAACAAAATAAACTAACGAACAACATAAACCACAGTTGTGTAAACATGGAGCAGACTGAAAGTAACCAGAGGGTATGGGGAAGGAGGACAATGGTGGAAAGAAGAAGTGACTAAGAAAAGAACAGGTATGGATGACCCATGGACATGGAACACAGTGTGGGAATTGACTGTGGGAGAGGGAGGCGGAGTGGGATGGGTGGAGGAGGGCAAAGGGGGAAAAAAGAAAAAAAACGTGTAGATTATAGGGGATTTAAACATTACCATTCAACTTGACCTAATTGACATTTATAGAATACTTGGCCAAAATATAACAGAACACTATTTTTCAAGTGCACATGCAACATTTAATAGTCCACTTGATGACACAAAAAGTAAATTTCAATTCATTCAAAATATTCTAATCATGCAAAGTAGGCTTATTAAATTGGAATTAAATGTGATATTAATAACAAAAATAAATCTGAAAAAAATCATCAAATATTTTGAAACTAAGGAGCATACAGATAAATAACCCATAGGACAAAGAAGAAATAAGAAATCTTATCTAATCTATATGGTAGCAACATACAATTAGAATTGAATCTTTTAAAAACAACATGGAAAAATAAAAATTAAAAAAATCAAATATTTAGAGATAAATTTAACAAAATATGTACAAAAGATAATACCATGTGCTTTGACCAGAGCCTCAATACAGAAGATATTAATTTTCTATAGATTCAATGCAATCCCAATGAAAATTTCAAAAGAAATTGAAAACCTGATTTTAAAACTAATGGGATATTACAAATGACCCAAAAGAGCCAAAACAACTTTGAAAAAGGATAAATTTTTTAGTGTTTACACTAACTAATCTCAAGAAATCTTATACAACTACAGTGATCAAGACACTGCTCTGTTGGCATTAAGATAGTCATTTAGATCAATGGAACAAAACAGGGAGCCTAAAATAGACACAAAGATATACATGGTCAGTTGATTTGCAGCAGAGGTGCCAAGCAATTCAATGGGGCACAGATCATGTTTCCAGGGTTGTACTGGAGCTGGCACATTCCAGCCTGCGAGAACTGACAGTGCGTTCCTCTCCCTAACTCCACATTTGGTGACGTGATGTCTTAACGCTTAATGCGCCCTGTGAGAGCAGTTACACTACAGAAATTGACAAACACCACACATTGGGGCACTTTGATTTCCCCTGGATAACTGGTTGTTAAACATTTATCAGTATTTCCATTGCATGTGTTCATGATCTTGATTGTGGTGATTTTACTGGTGCATAAACATGTCAAAGTGTATCAAAACGTACATTTCAAACATGTGTTGTTATTGCACATCAATAATACCTCAGTAAATCTGTAAAGAAGTCAGTCATATGCAACGAGATCGGTATCAGTTTTATTTGGATTGGTTTTGTTTTATTATCAGCAGCACAGGGTGCCAAAGAGGGAATAGAGTAGTACTTTTGAAGTATTGAAAGATAAAGAACACTGACCTTGAAGCTTATGTCCAGTCAAACTGTAAGGCAAAAATGATGCATGAACAAACAAGTGCAGGCAAAGATGTGGAAACATGGGAACACTTTTGCAGTGTTGGTGGGAACGCAGACTGGTGCAGCCACTGTGGAAAGCAGTGTGGAGATACCTCAAAAAATTTAAAATGAAACTGCTTTTTGACCCAATGATCCCACTTCTGGGAATATATCCTAAGGAGCCCCAAACAGTAATTCAAAAGAACATAAGCACCCCTATGTTCATTGCAGCATTATTTACAATCACCAAGATGTGGAAGCAGCCCAAGTGTCCGTCAGTAGATGAGTGGATAAAACAACTATGGGAATTTTACACAATAGAATACTACTCGGCCGTAAAAAAGAAAATTTTACCTTTGTAACAGTATGGATGGACCTGGAGAACATTATGCTAAGTGAAATAAGCCAGTCAAAGAAAGACAAATACCATATGATTTAATTCATATGTGGAACCTAATGAACAAACTCAACTAAGAAGCAAAACAGAGACAGACTCATAGATGGAGGGCAGAGGACAGCTAGTGAGGGGTCGGGGGGGCGTTAAGGGGTGGAGAGATTGAGCAAAAAGGAAAAAGGGCTCGTGGACATAGACAACAGTGTGGTGATTACTGGGGGGAAGGTGATATAAAGGGACTAAATGGTAATGGAAAAAAAATACAATGAAGATTAAACTTAAAAAACAAACAAACAAAAAATGAAGCATGATAAAAAACAGTTTCTGATCTACACACTGCTCAGAAGTTTTGCTGCATAAAGAACATTGAAAGCCACTGCTAAATAAGCAGAGCAAAAACCTAAAAGAGGCTCCAAGAAATGTATAAAGTGAAAGTGACCAAATCAAACTTGATACAGTTTTTATAATCTATAAAACTTTCTAAGATCAAATAAAAAGAGAAAAATATACCTTTAATAATTGGAACTTAAATTCTACATAGACTATTAATCTCTTAGATGTTGGGGATGGGGGTAAATCAAGAAATGTGCAAGCTTGTTAAGTTCTTGTCTTTATTTAAAAAACGATATAAACTTCTTAAAAATACAAAAAAGAAACAGTCCAAATATATTTATAGTTGCAATAAATAGAAACTAAATTCACCTACTAAAAGACCAAGATTGACTGATTAGAGATAGGTACAACTAAGCATAAAGACATGTGAAAGTTAAAAATTATTTTTATTTAATTAATTGATTTATTTTTAAAGAGAGGGGAAGGGAAGGAGAAAGAGAAGGATAAAAAATATCGATTAGTTGCCTCTAGTAGGCACCCCCACTGGGAACCTACTCTGTAGCCTAGGCATGTAGCCTGACCAGGAATTGAATCAGCAACCTTTCACTTTGCTGGATGATGTCTAACTAGCTGTGGTCAGGGCTGAAAGTTAAAATTTAAAGGGCAGAGGAAAAGCTTATCAGTCAAATACTTATCAGGAAAAGTTGTATAGTTATATTAATAGCTGACAACATAAGCTTAAAATTCAAAGGATGGAAAGGATCCCACATCATGATAAAAGATTAATTTTACCAAGAAGACATATCAATTTTAAACACATATGCACCCAATAAAATATCTTCAAAATATATAAAGCAAAAATTATAGGAAAACATATTTAAAAATAGAATACACAGAGTCATTGATAAATCTATTATAGTGGGAGATTTCTAACATATTCCTTTAAATTATTGTGAAGCCAAGAAAAGCTAGCCCTAATTTTATATATAATGTGTGTGTGTGTGTGTGTGTGTGTGTGTGTGTGTGTGTGTATATGAGATACAAGGAGAGAGAGAGATTTGCATCCAAAACCAGGAGAATATACATTTTTTATACATATCGGACGCTTATAAAAAATGATTAGGTACCATGGCATAAGAAAGCCTCAACAAATTTCAAGAAATAGGATCATTATATACATTACAAGGGGAAGATATCATATACAATACTCCTCAAACTCAATCACACAATTCCTGTGTGTCTCCTCTCTTTTCCTTCACAGAATGCCTATTGACATATTCAAGGACTTTTGTTTTTAAAGAATTTATATTAAGCCCTGACTGGTGTGGCTCAGTTGGTTGGGTGTTGACCTGTAAACAAAAGGCTTCCATTTGATTCCTGGTCAGAGCACATGCCTAGATGGCAGGTTTGGTCCCAGTCAGGGCAGATACAGAAAACTGATTGATGTTTCTCTCTCTCTCTTTCTCCCTCCCTTGCCCTCACTCTACCAAAAAAAAAAGAAAAAGAAAAAAGAAAAAAGAATTTATATTAACCCTTATAAACATTCATTCTTGCTTGTTTTGAAACTTCTTTCTTAATTCATTTATATCGTATATCAAATTAGCAAAGCTTTTGTTTTATTTTCTTGTCTTATTCATTGGCTCCGCAGGCTTTGGAAGCTTGCAAAGATGCTGGCCTGGTGAAATCTCTTGGTGTATCCAATTTTAACCGCAGGCAACTGGAGCTAATCCTGAACAAACCAGGACTCAAGTATAAGCCAGTCAGCAACCAGGTACAGTAGATACATTTTGACGGGGGTGGGATGTGGCCAGGGGTTCCAATAGTTATTTAAGAGCAAGAACCTTGGGCTAGGAGTCAGAAAGTTCTGTGATTGCTCTACATAAGACCCTAGGCAAGTCTTTCAACTTCTCTCAATTTATGTTTCTTAAAAAAAAAAAAAAAAAAAGACTTGAAAGTTTAAATACAGACAAAAGTAACTAACCTCCCCAAAAAATTCTGAAGAAAAATAATGAGGGGGAACAAGACCTTCCAGGTATCAAGACATATAGAATATATGCTAGACATAAGGTTAGCACAAGAGCCAATAATACAGATAAATAGAAAATAAGAAATATTGTAGAAACAGGCCCAAGTACAAGAACTTGATGTAAAATAAAGTAGCACTAACTAGTGGCAAAAGGATGGATTTTTTAGTAAATGGTGCGGTGAAAATGCCCAGTTATATGGAAACAATATAGATCTTTGCGTTATATCATGTTCCAAAGTGAATGTCCCTATGATCAAAAGTTAAAGAGAAAGAGGAAGTCATTTGTAAATACTAAACAAGAATTTCAGTTTTCTGGAGCTCTAAATAGAAAAGGAAGCCATGGGAAAATTATAAAGAATAGGTTAAATTTAGTAAAAAAAATGTTATATCTAAAAATATCAGAAACGAACGGCAAACAAAAATGTGTGTGTGTGTGTGTGTGTGTGTGTGTGTGTGTTAAGATGCACTCAATCCACTGAGCCACACAGCTAGGGCAATAATTATATTTTTAAAAATATAATAGAAAAAGAAGTTCATATCCTAGTGAATTAAAAGACTAATGAAAAAATCAATGAAAAAAATTAGTGAGAAAAAAATAAAATACTAAGGCTCAACAGAAAAATGGGCCAAATAAATTCACAGGAGAACAACTGTAAGACTGGTAAACATATGAAAGTTGTACTAGTAATTACAGAAATTTAAATTTAAGTGTGATTGTTACATTTTCTGTCAAATTAATGAAGCTTTTGTTTTATTTTTTAATATAAAACTCTCACCAAGCTTGTTGTAATTAATCTCACCAGTATACAAACAATGTAAGTTTCCTTGTTAGGAAAAACATTTAGAAGTCATTCCATTATCCATAATATTTTAAATGAATTTTATTTAAGGATTTTTTTAAAACTATGTAACATTGCATTCATCTAAAAGGCCTTAATTTTGTGCCCTGTTCTTCAATGCATCCACATAGATTGAGTGCCACCCATATTTCATCCAGACAAAACTCCTGAAATTTTGCCAACAACATGACATTGTCATTGTTGGATATAGCCCTTTGGGGACCAGTAGAGATCCAACATGGTAAGTAATGCTGTATTATCTCTTCAGGAATTGTTTCCTTTGATGTAGAATATGAGGCTGCTGTGAATAGATTGAAAGGACTCTATTTGACAATGTGATCTTAAGAAAGTTACTTAATCTCTTCAAATCATTCTCCATACAAATCGAGCTAATAAAATCTTCCTCACTTAGATGCTGTAAGAATTGATTATATGTATGAAATTACCTAACAGTGCCTAAAACATGGAAATGTGTCTGTCCATGAATGTTAGTTTAGATATTATTCAACAGAGTCTTTATGGCCATATTCTGAAATCGTAGAATTTTTGACCTCTGCATTCAATGGCAACGTCTACTGTGATGTGTTCCACAGACCAAAGTAGAAATTTTTCTACTCTAAGATGATTCCAAGAGTTGTGCTTTTATTTATTCCACTCCAGTCTTCCTGCTTTCCCACATATACTTGTAACCCAGTTCTCTGCGTAAGACACATCGAAAAAATATCATTTACTTTCTGAAAGAGGCAGCTCTATAACTTTACCTCTTTTGATTTCCCCACACTAAGAGCAACTCTTCATTGAGGACTCTGCCATCAGAGAAATTAGTTACAGATGATCTGAAATGGCCTGGTAGGTTACCAGGTGAATTGGGAAGACAGAGGAGGGTCAATAAACCATTGGTTCTTGTTGATCAAGCTAAATATAATGCATGTTTCTACTTTTTTTTAAGGGTGAATGTATCCTTCCCATCTTTGCTAAAGGACACACTTCTAAACTCATTGGGGAAAAAGTACAACAAGACAGCAGCTCAAGTTGCTTTGCGTTTCAACATCCAGCGAGGGGTCGTTGTCATTCCTAAAAGCTTTAACCCTGAAAGGATCAAAGAAAACTTTCAGGTAAGAGCACTGCTGCTGAAAATGTAAACAGTAGGTTTGGTTTTTTTTTTTAATTTAGCAAATTTTCTGCTTAGATTAATAAGAAACTTGTAATGCCTTCATATTTTATTTTATACCAGCTCCCTTACTCTGCCCATATCTGGATTTAAGTTTAGCTGAATTTGAGACAATTCCTAGTACTTAGGGGATTGCTTTGCTACTTGACTATTAAGGCATACTTTGGAAATATTGCAGGTACCATTCCACACCACCACAATAAAGTGTGTATTGCAATAAGGTAAGGCAATAGAATGAAAAAAAAAAAAAAAAGAATGTCTAAAAAATGTACGTACCTTAATTTAAAAATACTTTTTTGCTAAGAAGTGCTAACAACCATCTGAGCCTTCAGCAAGTCACAGTCTTTTTGCCGGTGGAGGGTCTTGTCTCAATGTTGATGGGCTGCTGGTGGCTGCTGAAGGTGGGGGTGGCAATTTCTTCAAATAAGAAAACAGTGAGGTTTGCCATATTGATTGACTCTTTCTTTCATAAACAATTTCTCTGTTACATGTGGTGCTGTTGCCGGATACCATTTTACCCACGGAGCTTCTTTCAAAAGGAGAGTTAATCCTCTCAAAGCCTGCTTTATCTACTAAGTTTATGTAATATTCTAAACCCTTTGTTGTCATTTCAACAGTATTGACAGCATCTTCAGCAGTAGTTTCCATCTCAAGAAACCACTTTCTTTGCTCATCCATAAGAAGCAACTCCTCATCCACTAAAGTTTTATCGTAAGACTGCAGCAATTCGCTCACATATTCAGGCTCTACTTCTGAGTTTAGTTCTCATGCTATTTCCACCACATTTGCGATTCCTTCCTCCACTGAAGCCTTGAACCCCTCAAAATCATCCATGAGAGCTGACTTTTGTCAGGAATTTGGAAGACATTCCCAATGTTGATATTTTGGCCTCTTCCCATGGAGTGTTCTTAAAGGCATCTAAAATGGTGAATACTGTCTGGAAGGTTTTCAAAGTACTTTGTCAGGTCTATCAGAGGAATCCTTGTCTAAGGAGTTATAGCCTTATAAAATATATTTCTTAAATAAGACTTGAAATTCAAAACTAGTCCTGGATCCATAAGCTGCAGAAGGGCTATTGAGTCAGCAGGCGTAAAACACTCATCTCATTGTACGTGTCTGTCAGAGTCTCGTGTGATCAGGTGTGTTGTCAATGAGAAGTAATATTTTGAAAGAATTTTTTTTTTTTGAGCAGTAGGTCTCAACAGCGGGCTCAAAATATTTAGCAAATTACCCTGGCCAGTGTGGCTCAGTTGTTCGGGCGTTGTCTTCCAAAGCAGAAGGACACAGGTTCAATTCCCAGTCAAGACACATGCCTGGGTTGCAGGTTTGATCCCAGGTTGGGGGGTGCAAGGGGCAACTCATTGATGTTTCTCGCACACATCGATATTTCTCTCCCTCTCTTTCTTCCTCCTTTCCCCTCTCTCTAAATCACAAGCAGAAAAAAAAATTTTCAGCAAATCATGTTGTAAACAAATGTACTGCTACCCCAGCTTTGTTGTTCTAGAGTAGATTTAGCATAATCCTTAAAATTCTAGTTTTTCAGAATGGCAAACAAGCATTGGCTCTAACTCGAAGTCGCCAGCTGCATTTACCCCTAAGAAGACATTGTCCTTTAAGGTTTTGAAGCCAGGTACTGACTTCTTCCTGGCTGTAGAAGTCCTAGATGGCATCTTCTTCCACCAGAAGGTTGTTTTGTCTACACTGAAAATGTGTTATTTAGTGGGGCCACCTTCAAGAATTGCCTTAGCCAGAGATTCTGGACAACTTGGTGCTTCACCTGGCACTTTTAGGTGTCCCATTTTGGTAATTGTTGCAATATTTCATATATTATTATCATAATGGAGGAGACAGCTTCTTTGCTTAAACTTCATGAACCAACCTCTCTACTTGCAAATTTTTTTGCACAGCTACCTCACCTCTCTCAGCTTTATAGGACTGAAGGGAGTTAGTACCTTGCTCTGGATTAGGCTTTGGCTTAAGGAAATGTTGTGGCTGGTTGGATCTTCAGTCCAGACCATGAAAACTTTTGCCACATTAGCAATAAGGCCATTTCGCTCTCTTATCATTCCTGCGTTTATGGGAGTAGCATTTTTAATTCCCTTCAAGCACTTTTCCTTGGCCCTTACAATTTGGCTTTTTGGCACAAAAGTCCTAACTTTCAACCTATCTTGGCTTTCAACATACCTTCCTCACCACCCTTCATGGTTTCTAGCTTTTGATTTAAAGTGAGAGACCTAGAACTCCTCATTCCACTTCAACACTGAGACGCCACTGTGAGGCTGAACTGGGAAGTGCTGAAACTGCTCTCGTCAGGGACCCCCACATGCCCAGACCCCAGAATTAGTTCTTCGTTCTGTCCTACTAGATCTTTCAACAGAAGCTCAATCAATTAACATTCTCTCCTTCTTGAAATATTTCCTGTAAGAGAAACAAGGTTGGGGGGAATATATCAGGAGCTCAGTTTTCTAATATGAGCTCCTCGTTCACTTAGGATAATTTGTGCCAGGAGATTGGGGCGGGGGAAGACTACTAAAAACCAATCCACATGATAAGGAAATGCATTGCATAGAAATAATGGAGGGAGAGGGAATTTGGAAATTTATCTTAAAATGGAAACCAAAATTTATGAAAGTAATTTTACTTATTTTATAATTTTTAATTTTTTTAATCCTCACCCGAGGACATTTTTTCATTGTTTTTTAGAGACAGAAGAGGGAAAAGAGGAAAACATCAATGTGAGAGACAAACATTGATTGTTTGTTTGCCTTCTGTAGGCACCGAACTGGGGACTGAACCCACAACCGAGGCATGTACCCTGACTGGGAAGCAAACCTGCAACCCTTTGGTTACAGGACGATGCTCCAACCAACTGAGCCACACTGGCCAGGGATACTCATTTTATATTAAACAAAACTTAGGTTAAAATCACACATGTGCCCTAAAGAAACAGTGAATCAGTTGATTTTTGATATACACTTCACAAAGTTATATAACACATCACATTGCTACTTCACAAAGGTTTTTATAAAGTGATCATAAAAACAATAATTTTGGTAAAATTTCAGATGGCTTCATCTGAAGGAGGTTCTTAATCCCTTTTTTCCCCAAATCACACTCTATGGTAGATATATCTACCAAAGTAGATTTTAACTGTATCAGAGTCTTAATTTGAAAAAGAGTGTGCCTATAATAGAGCAAATCCCCACGATCACTTCCATTGACTTCATGAAATCCTGCACCTTTGGCAGGGTTTGCAACTCCACTTTGTGGTTTGGATGCTTTGCGTATCCATCGGCGTCTGAGGCTGACTCACCAGCACTCAGGGAACGGGCAAAAAAGCTTAAAGGTAGTTTGAGGAAGGACTCAATTTATATGCAATTGGTTCATTCATGATTGTTTTTAAGTTATGCAAACTTTTGCTTTCTTACACAATCTCATAAACTCCAAAACTTGGATAATAAATAATCAAAGAAAGGGTTTCCTTGGGGCAGCGGAGGAAGCGCTTAGTAACAGACTACGGGAGAATGATTAAGTAAATTCTGTTACACCTATACCATGGGTACAGTGTTAAACAACAGATAAAGTCAGTCTGCCTACTTTGACAGAAAAAAAATCACCAAGACATTCTGTAAATGAAAGAAAGTTGCAGAATAATATAGATATAATACAATTATTGCATGTTACTGTGTGTTGAATGTTTGGAAAGAACATCTAGGACAGAGAATAGGGCTAGGGTAGTGGGTAACAATTTTCACTACTTATTCCATGAATAATACATATTATATGCATTACTTACATAAAAGCATTACTTACGTATTATTTATATGAAAGATTGAAAATGATTAAGTGTACCATTTAAAATAAAATTTAAATGATAGGAAGATAAAGAAGATAAAAAGTAGATAAATTATATAAACAGGTAAATCAAGTGTTAAAAATATAAATAAGCTAAAATAAAGTATAAAAATGTTAATAAAGGACAATTATAAAACCAGAGTATAAAGTATACCAGCTAAAAACAAAACAAAACAATGAAAATATAATAAGAATTAAAAGCTAGATAAAGAGACATTAAAAGTGATGAGAGAAATGAGTAGAAAGGCAAAACAAAGCAAATTAAAACTTTTTTCAAAATACAGAAGCAAATTTAGAGACAAGGGAATATTTTTTAAGTGTACAAAAGGTCTAGTAGAGAATCAAAAGTTCATCACGTTATCCAGAAATAAGAAGAATTCTTTATTCCTGGAATTTCACATGTCCTCAATTAACGTTTCATGGCATTTGGAATTCTTTGCAAGGCGTCCCCAGCAGAACTGTCTGAAAGACAAAGCGCAGAAGAAAATTCCTGCTCCACGACAGTGGGGTTGCTCCCAGCGCTAGTCCAAGTCTTCTTAGAATTTGCAGAGATGTTCATAAATCTTTGAAGGTTTCCGATGGCTGGCTCTTCTCCCTCCCTGTCCCCAAGCTTGACCCATTTTCTAGTACTATAAAAGTCTGTCTTTTATTTCCATTATTTCAGATCTTTGACTTTTCTCTCACCGAAGAAGAAATGAAGAGCGTCGAAGCCTTGGATAAAAAGGTCCGCTTGGTGCAACTGCTCATGTGAGTTCTGGGGGATCATCGATCAGGTACTACCCAAAGGTGTTGGGTTATCAAGCATCAACCAAGAGGGCTCTTACGAACCCGCGCCCGTGTCCACTGAAGCACAAGGCTCAAGGCCACTGGGCAGCATATTCTGTATATGAAATAAGTCTGGGTAAATTATATTCATTCTAGGAACTTCCTGCAAATCTGCATTTTTATTTAAAAGAAGATTTCTGGCATTCATAGGACTTCTCATGACAGGTTAAAGCATAGCAGGCTAACGACTTTGAGGAGAATTTAGTCATAGTGTATGTACAATACAATACAAATTAATTAATAGCTGCACCATTATTCAAATACCATATGCCTTTCTTCCTAAAAATCAAAGTGATGCACAAATGAGAGCAAAAGTTAGCCACAAAAAGCAATGCCTGGAACAGAGACATGAGAGTGTAGTAGAAAGAGCACCAGGTTGGAAGCCAAGAAACTAGTTTTAGATGAATGTTTGCCTGTAAGATTTGAAGCTTTTAGCTCCACCTCTGAGGAGACCTTCCACCAGCAAAATTCCTTACACTCCTGCAAATTTCAGATTCAGCCACTGGTCCTTTAAAATAAAAAAAGAATATATATACAGCATCCAGCACAAATAATGCCCCTTCTTTATTACAAAATCTTTAATTACAAAATCATAAGCATGTAATTCTGTAACATAACAATTTCACACTCAAGCACACCATATGACATTTTAGGTGAAATGTTCAAATTAAAACTCTAAATTATGGCACCCACATTATTACCCTACCAACCACACTCAGGCAGGCATTACTTCTGCTGGACCCCGTATACACACACACATCTGTTGTATATATACACACATACATTTTTTTTCTTCTTAATCATTCTTTATTACTATTTCCCATTCTTTAGATCACCTGGATAGTCATCTTCTTTTTTCAGTCTTCTCTGTAAGGGAGCATTGATAAAAGCTCACTAAAATGGTTCATATAATTTGAACGCTTTTGGTCCCACTTTTTTTCAAGAGTCAGAAACTTCTCTCTGTTAATGTAAACATTTCTGAATTAGCCTTGGCTGGTGTGGCTCAGTAGACTGAGTGCCAGCCTGTGAACTGTAAGGTCGCCGGTTGTATTCCCAGTCAGGGCACATGCCTGGGTTGCAGGCCAGGTCCCCTGTTGGGGGCATATGATCAATGTTTCTCTTCCTTTCCTTTCCCCTCACTTCCTCTCTCTCTCTCTAAAAAATAATTTAAAATCTTAAAAATAAACGTCTGAATTGATAAAATGACTTCCTAATGTGAGTTTTCCAGGGGGAAAAACTATCAACATCAAAAGGTACCACCTCGCATTGAGAATGAAAGGGCAAACGCAAACTTGGAGCTAAGAAACACTTATAAGTTAATTAATAGCTCTCGAAGATAAATGATTTCTACTGAATAAATACCATTCAATTAATAAGGGATAGTAAGATATAGCCAATCCACCAATGTACTGATTTCTTTTACAGACAGTTAATTGATGACATGTCTTGGTTGGACATTTGACATATTTAGCATCTAATTCTAGAAACACTGAGAAAAATAACTAATTGTACCAGGAAATAAATAGAAAAATCAGCAAGGAGAATTAGGAATTAGGCCCCATGGGTCCAAAACATGCATTATTTAGGCATACTGGGCAATGCATGATTCTTTTCTGCCTTTCATCCAGTTAATCCTTGACTGGATTTCAGGGCCTTTTGTTTACTTGTTTGTTTGTTTGTTTGTTTTGATTTAATTTATATTGTATTTTAATTTAAAGCTCAGAGAACTGACTTTTAGACAAGTCCCATGGGAGACGCACATGTGAGCGCACGCATGCACACACACTCCAGTCCTTTTAAAGGCTATTCCACCAATGCTATTTAAGAGATAGGTTCGTCATCGTCCTTGTCATCCTTACAGCAGAAACTTTGCTGGTCATCATTTTAGATCTCAAATGACCAGCTCCCCGGAGGCCTAGTGAGGAAGGCAGGGAAAGGCTACGAGGAGAAGGGCAGAGCGGTGGTGGGGAGGAGGGTTCCATGGGTCCTTGGCCTGCGCTGGAGCCTCGATCAGAGCAGCAGAGGGGAGGCAGGGGCTGGAATGTGGCGGGCGTCGCCCACCAGTGGTGGTTTTGTTCTGAGCCAAATGTCGGTGTAGAGGCAGCCCGCCCCCACCCCCACCACGCCCCAAACACACACACTTAAACTCAGATGCTGCCTCGGGCGTCGGTAAAAGTGCTGGCTGGACAAAAACTGGGAGGAGGGCGCATCAGAAACAAAAGGAATGATGTAAAGAGTGAGGGAGCGCTCGGTGAAAGGGCCAAAGGATGCCAGTAACGCATCCAGCCGAGCGCCTTGGGAGTGACATTTTTCCCTTCGGGGACTCGATTTGGCAGGTGGAGTGATCATCCTGAATACCCATTTCATGATGAATACTGACTTCGGAGAGCTCCTGAACTGATGTTTCCCTCTCGTGTGTGCCAGAACCTTTGGCTGGAGCCTCCCCTCAGATGAAGTGGTGATGGGTCTAACTTCTGTGTGACGTATGGCTTTGATTTGGCTATGTTGAAAAAGGTTAAATCTGTTGAAATAATGGTTTGGAGGTAATTAAGTGGTTGACAAAACCAAACTGATTTGGTGGTTGTTACCATTCAATGTGTGTTTAATTAGTTTTTACCCAGCTTTAGGGATAGATAACTGCTAGTTCTTTCTTGTATGCTTTAAAGGGCCTGAGCTTCACTTAACTGGTGACCCTTATTTACACTTCTAATGGTGGTCACACATCATATAACCATCATTATGCAAAAGGACTTGAGACTATCAGCATATGCATATAAAACCCTGTATGGTGAGCCAGTCCAAAGACGATTATTTTGAAAGAAGGCATTTTAGAAAGGGGCTTTTGGGCAGAAAATTGAAAAAAGAAGCTTTATAAAATTATTATACTTAAGATTTTAAAAGTGTTTTTGAGATAATTATGTAAATTTCCAGATAGCAATTTCAAAAGAACACTGGTAATTGTGCTGTATGTGATTTTTTTAAGTGAATAAGAAAGTTATTAGAATTTCACAATAGAGATATACTTATTTTCAATTAAACTAAAGCAATATATTTTATTCATTCACATTAGGTCACTTTCACAGGGTAAGAAAGGTCTTCAAAAATTATATTTGTCTGAACACATAATCTTCAATGACCTGAAAACATACACTTCTGAGAAATTATCACTTAAAAAATTGACCTCGACTAATTATTTCCACTGGTTCCAATATTAATACGTATAATGTTGTCCTCTGGAAAATGTTCTATTCAAAAAAATTAAAAATAAACTGTGAGGATTTGCTCCACCATATGGTTCTCCATTTTGCCGTCGGATGGGGTGGGGTGGGGGTGGAGCTGGTCATCTGAAATCAATTCAATGGAAAGACCTTTGATCAAGATCCTATTGCACATTGATCACTGGGAAGAGAGGGAAGGAAAAGGAGAACAGAAATGAAAATGAAGAGCAGAAACTTTAGACCTGATCTCTATTGTCAAACCCCTTCAAAGTACTTTGAGGGGGCCAGCATGGAGGAGGGGCCATATCTATCAAATCATTTTTAAAAGACAAGCATTGGGAAAGGAGTCCCACCATTTGTCAGGGGAAAAAAACGTATATATTTCTAAAGATCAGAAGAAGGGAATACTCTCTTAGTCATAACAGAAATGTTGGGGACAGAAAAAAGGAAGTTCAGGAAAGAGTGACAGACTGCTACAAGCTTCTGCATGTCAATCCTCCCTCCCCTCTCAAGCTTCCCAGCTACTTTGGGGTGAATTGTATCCTCAAGATGTATATGTTGAAGTGTTAGCCCCCAGTACCTTAGAAGGTGACCTTATTTGGAAATAAGGTTATTATAGCTCTCATTAGTTAAGATGAGGCCATTAGGGTGGACCCTAATCCAATATGACTGGTATCCTTCTCAGAAGAGGAAATATGAACAGACACTCACACAGGAAGAATGCCATGTGCAGAGAGAGCCAGCGATCAGGATGGTGCTTCTACAAGGAAAGGAATCTCAAAGATTCACAGCAAACCACCAGGAGCCTGGGAGGTAGCATAGACCAAACTCTCCCTCGCAGCCCTCGGAAGGAACCAACTCTGCTAACACCCTGACCTTGGATCTGGCCTCCAGAACTGTGAAAAAATAAATTTGTTGTATGAGTCACCCAGTTGGTGGCACCTGATTACAGCATCCCTCGCAAACTAACACACCATCCCTCCGTCAAGATTTCCAGCCTCTCCAGTTGATGTCAATCATAAAAATGGCCTTACTTAGTCAGAGCTCTGCTGCACTCAGACACTGATGACCAATCATTTTAACCCTCCCAGGGACTTTTGTGATCCTGGAGATGGTTATTAACCCAAATCTATGTCCTGTATAATCAGATGTCTCTGATGTGCTAGGGAGTAAGATATATCAGTAGTGGAGTAACCTGCCTGGAAAAGGAGAGGCAGCCAAAAGCATATCATGCTCACTGGTCCACAGAAACGCAGGGATGGGAGCAGCAAGGGCTTCCTGCCCCAGGCTAGAGTACATTTCTTGATCTGCCTACCCTGACTGTTCCCTCAGAGGATCTCCCTTGGGCTCTGTCTTCCGTAGTAATAATGCTGAGGGCAGGGAGAGGCCAAGAGAGGGATGTAAACAATGATCCCTAGTCTGTGGCCTTCAGCTCTTTGAGATGCATACACTTTATGACCACAGATATAGGAGTTAATAAAGGTTGAGCAAACTCCTATTTCCCACACTTGGTATTTCTCTAGAACTCCCAGCAATTTCAGGCTTCTGCTGGTGACTTTGATCTCTGATCACTATAGACGGGTTAACTAAATCTGGATGTTTTGTGGAGCCCTGCCCTTGAATGTGAACTCTCCCCAAATCTGAACTATAGACTACATGTTTCTACCTCCAAGTATCAAATCCCTATGTTCTCATTTCTCTTGGCTAGGGCTGGGGGTGGGGAAGAATGGATAATCAGTTTTACCCATAATCTACTTCTGGGCTCTGGTGTTTTAGACAGTTTGAGAGCTGAGATGCAGAGTAGGCGGGTAGGAAGTAGCAAATACATGGACCTATGTAGGGTCCTCCATAGATTTCACTACTGGTAAACTTCCTTCCAAGGCCATGCAGAGCTATGTGGAATCTTTAGGAGCAGGTGGGGGTTGTTAGGAAGAGACAACATCGCTGGAAGGCTAGGGGCTGGACAGACCTCACTTTAAGTCCTGCTGACGGCCACATGGAGGTCAGGGAGGAGCAGCCTTACCAGGAGCACACAGAAATAATTGCACATTTTTTAAACTGTGCTGCAATTTGATAATGCTCTATTGAGTATTTTTGTATTGATATTTATATGTAAGACTATTCTGTAGTTTTCTTTATATATACTCTTTAGTTTCTATTATCAAATTGTGCTCAACCATTATTTTTAAAAAAGAGCAAGATTTTCTTTCACTCTCTCCACTCTAGAACAAATTAAATTAAGTTTAAATTATTCATTCCTTAAAGTGTTCACAGAATTTACCTGAGAATTTTGTCTCTGTCAATAGGGAGACTGTATACTTTGTATCTCATCTAGGATCAATATTTCAAATTTTTCTTCTTCTTGAAATTGTTCAATTTTGTATAGTTTAGCAAATGGAAATATATTGGTTCATCTAGTCAACCAACTTTTTTTGTGTGCCACTCTGCTAGGCTCTATTCTAGGCAGTTGGGACAGATCAATAAACAAAATAAAAATTCCTAAGCTCTTCTACACATTTGAACTCTTTTGATTCCTTTAATTTTCCTAAACCTGTGGTTATTTCTCCCTTTACATTCTTATGTTGTATATCCCTCTGTTGTTTTTCCAGTTAATTAATTAGTCATTCATCAAGTCATTTTTTTCTTGTTTCTGGATTTCACTTAGAGCAAAATTCCTAAAGGAAAAGAGGATTCATTGATTGGTTCTGCCAGTTCCCTATTTCATTAATATCTTGTTTTCTTTTACTGATTTCTTGTCTACTTTCCTTACTTTTTCAACAGCCTTCTAATTTTTTAGGTTGAATGCCCATTTCATTGATTTTTTTTTGTTCTTCTTCTTTTTATTGTTTTACAATATAAGCATTGAATACATTAATTTTCCTTTTGAGCGCTGTTTTAGTTAAGATTTTCTCAATCTTGTTATTTTCTACACATACTCATTGGGTTTTGCTTTATTCTTTGGTTGATAGTTGTTTACAAGAGTTCCTGTCTTATTTTAATTTCTAGTGTTAGAGCTTTTTTTCCCTCTAGCCTTTATATCCTACTTTTATCCATGCTGAACTCAGATAGCATCAATGTTTTCAATATTTCATGGGATTGTGACAAGACACATTCTACTATAAATACTGAGTTGGATATAATGGACATACAATTCTACGTTATACATTTTACCATCTAATATTAGGAAAGCTATGTTGGGTGAGTGGTTCTTTCTTTAAAATTATAATTTATTGTTTATGTTATGACAGTTGTCCCAACTTTTCCCCCTTTGCCTCACTAACAGTGGTTCCAGGGTACGTTTGGCAGTGTCTGGAGACATTCTTGTTGTCATAACTAGTGGGAGGCGAGAGAAGGTGATACTGACATTGAGTAGGTGGAGGCCAGAGATGCTGCTAAACACCCTCCATAGGACAGCCCCACCACAAAGAATTATCGGGGCCAAAGTGTCAAAAGTGCCAAAGATGAGAAGCCCTGCCAACACAAGAGTCTTTCTTGAAAAGGTCAAAATGTGCTCATCCCTAACACCGTAATTTCCGTTTATTGCAGATAACTGAAAACTAACCCATTTAGGCTCATTTTTAGAGTGTTTAAAGTAAGCCTCCCATTCTTCATAATTTATCTTTTTTTTCTTATGCATTTTATCTTTTCTCGGATCATTAAACTAATAACAGGTTTCATGCTGTCAGTATTTGAGTTTAAAGCGCATGGGCAAATGAGTCTCGATGAAAATGAGTTAATGCAGGAAACTGAAATGATAAATTATTTCTTCAGACTAAGTCAAGAGAAAATTGCTCTGAGAAATAACAGACTGCTATTGAAATATAGAAGCAATCCGAGAGATTAGATTAAGATGGTAATCTGCTTTCCTTCCTGCCCCAAGTTCCTTAAAATAACTAAGCAGAGAGCCAATTGAATAGACAAAACCCACAGCACATCTAGAATAAAGAAGGGATGCATCAGGGGGCCAAAAAACCCCTAAGGACAGAAAGCAGAAGTAATTGGACTGGCAAAGAAATAAGAGTAGACAACTGTAGCCCAAAGTGCTTGCAGAAAACAACTGCTGCAAAGATAATAGCAACTTTAGACATACTTCAAACTTAGAGTCAAAAAAATTGAAAGAAAAAAAGTAGTTTCAATGACCCCACATTCCACCAGGGCTATTTCCTCCTACACACACAGACCTGAGGGGCTGCCAAGAGCCATGTTTGTTCTTCTGGCTGAAATAATTTCTTTCTTTAAAAAAAAATTAATTTTTCAATTACAGCTGGCATTCAGTATTATTTTGTATTGGTTTCTGTTGTTAGACACAGTGGTTGGACACAGGTAATTTACAAAGTGATTCCCCCAAAAAGTCTAGTACCCACCTGGCACCATACCTAGTTACTGCAATATTGTTGATTGTACGGGTATTCCCTTTGTTGTACTTTACATCCCTGTGACTATTTGGTAATTGCCAGCTTGAGAAACCACTTCTTTCTAAACAAAATGAATACAATTCTGGAAGAGGGCAAAGACCACAGTATTGAAACTGGATTGAGAAACAGATCACAGCTTTCAATCACTTCAAAGAACCACACAAAAGACAAGATTAAAACAAGAAAATCGAAGTGATTCTGACTTAATTCCAGAATAAACCTCTGGTGTGGGGGATGGGGAGAAGAAGTGACAATAGAAGGGGAAACAGAAGAACACAGCATTAAAGGAGACCCTTGGCTACAGAACGGCTAGTGCATTATGACTGAAGGAAACAGAATTTGCTACCTCAAAACACGCCACTTTGGCATATGGACTATTTTGAGTGGGAGGCAGTTGAGAAGAAACAAGTATGAGAAAAGGTCTATTTGCCTAAAAAGAGGACATAAATTTACAGTGTTCATCATCCCCTCTCTGCCGGGAAAGACACAAATTAATCATTGGAGACAACTTCAGGTGTTTATCAGTGGGAGGTGGCATGGGAGAAATTTACATAACAAACTACATGTGACTACATGACTGGTTGGAAATGGAAGTACATTGTAATAAGGCTTTTCTATTGAACATGAAGCCATTGGACAATAGCCTGTTTTAAGTTA